CTGCTACCGCTTTGTTCGTAAAGTGTCATTATCCCTGTCTTATCTCGAATATCAGGGCACACTAACGACAGTTATCTCCGCGCTTAATCTCCTTTGAAGCTCCCACCTCCTAGTTTTTAATCTTAAAGTTGAAAGGAACAGCTGAGTAGTCTCCATAACTGGTCGTAACAACTCGGTGGGCAAGCAGCATTACTCCACTTGATGATAATCCATGATATCATCACGGTATTATTCGTGAAGATGATGGACTTGTTAGATAACCTCAAACATTAATTGAACATGTCTGTTTCATTGCCTTGTCGATCCTCACAGCGGATATCTTGTTCGGGTGAATATTTTAGGCTGCGGTGTATTATCGTATACCACACATTGCCGGCAATCTCATCTGGATAATTCAGGTACTTAACCGATCCCTCTCGGCGTTAATCATGGAGGATCATTCCAGGATGGGAGCGTCGGGGATGATTAATTTTTAATTAGTGAAGGTTGTGGGAATGAGTGAGTAAAAAATATAATTCTGAGTGTAGGGAGCCTGGTGGAATGGTGAGACTCATTAATATGGGCGTTGCATATTTTATTTGAATTTTCATATTTGATGCAATTGGATTCTTTAAGCTCTAACTTGAGCAACAACTTGAGTTGCAACTCGAGTGATAAATAGAGTCTAAGGTTGAGTTACGGCTTGAGCAATGACTTGAGCCCTGGTGTGAGCTCAAAGAGTTGAATTGTGAGCCCGAGAAAACTCAAACAAATCTGACCCAACCTTCGTTCGTTATTACAAAAATAAATTGAGTACTAATTAGCCGCATGCCATCAAGAAATTCAATATTTCTACCACACATTGCCGGCAATCTCATTTGGATAATATTCATGTATTTCCCCGTTCCCTGTTGGTGTTAATCATGGAGGATCATTTCAAAATGGGAGCGGCAGGGATGATGAATTTTTAATTAGTGAACGTTGAGAGAATTAATGAGCACAAAATATGATTCTGAGGGTAGGGGTCTAGTCTAATGATGAGCCCCATTGATGTGGGAGTTACATATTTTATTTGAATGGTTATATTTGATGTAATTAGATTCCTTGAGCTCCAACTTGAGCAACAACTTGAGTTGCAGTTCAATCGATAAATTGAGCCTGAGGCTGGGTTATGACTTGAGCAATAATTTGAGCCCTACCATCACCTATAACATCATCCACAACACAAACCTAAACTTGAGCCCTGGGTCGAGCTTGAATCCATTGAATTGTGAGCTCAAGAAAACTCAAAGAAACCTTACCCAACCCTCGGTCCTGATTACAAAAATAAATTGAGTACTAGTTAGCCGCACGCCATCAACAAACTCAATATTTCTCACAAAAACAGAATACTGAGCTCAAGACAACTCAAAGAAACTCCCGCAAAACTTGCCGCTCGTCCTTCCATTTCCATTCAAAACTTATTTACATTTTTCCCACGGTACCCATACCCTGGATGTTTCGTTGTATCCTTCGCAGTTGCTACGGAAGTAGCTGGAGCCTCCGCGTTAGGTAGAGACTCGAGAGTACGAAAAGTCTAGACAAGGTGGAAAAGGCAAGGCAGTGTCGCCCTGAGGATTCCCTCGGCTCGGCTAGGAAAGAGGAAAAGGAAACTGAGCAGGAAGAGGAGTCACGGCTTGGCTATAAATATGCTGCGCCACCTGCACCTAACGTCCACCACTGAACCAGACTGAAAGCGAAGGGCCCCTCGTCCCTTCCCTCCGCTCGCTCTTTCCATCCTGTAGGTATTCCAGTGCCAAGCCGGTGAGAATGGAACGCTGTTGTCGTGCTTGGACGTACATACAACGTACACCCGATTACATACTCCATCTCCCTCTCCCTCTCTCTATATCCCACTTTCTTCACATGGTAGATTGAACTCAAGTACACACGGGCTACACGATCGCGATGTAATCGGTGTAAATGCTACATGCGCGGTAATAAGATAAGCGGTGGGCACTCGAGAAATGTTCGAAGCTGGTTGTTTAAATGCTTTTTGGTGATCAGAACCTTTCATTGCTGCATTATGAACTGGGGGGGGGGGCTGTGCCCCCTGCACATGTCGGATTCATCACTCGAAAGAATCAGAAGAATCATAGGGGGTTCACATTTTGAACTTAGTTGGGTTTTATGGAGATCATCTAGCATCAAGTCCTCGGTTGACGACCTGAACAGGGGGCGAAGCCCCCCTCAGTGAATATTATAATCCCCTTCAATTAAAACCAATTCACTCTAGTCTGAAATTCATCCAGCCTCTTTGACACACCTCATCCGCTAAAAGGTTTATTAACTCGGATGACACTGTGCCTTTACTTAAACACGTCACCTCACTTTCACATCCCTAAGTGCGTTCCACTGCGATGGGAAAAGGTTAAAAGCGCGCTCTTCGTGTGCAGCACGATGCTCTATCGCTAAACTGGTCGCCACCCTGAAAGCTCAGAGGGCACGATATCAGGGAGAAGAGAAATCACGTGAAATAGGGCAACATCACATTACCACATCTCCTCATTGCGATTCTCTCTGCCCGTATGAGAAGAAAATCCATGTTATGAGTTTTATTTTCTCTTTACGACTTTACAAGGCAATAAATATGACATAAACAAGCTAATCTGGCAGTTGAATCTGACGAAAATAGTACTTACAGGGAGTTTACGGGTCAACTTATCTCCATTGCCAGTCGGAGCAATGGAGACAAATATAGTTGATACTTGTGAATCGAAGACAAAGAAAGGATGGGAGTGACTCCCCCCTTCCACACTGGCATGTATATATTTTTTCCCCGTCGGACCAACACGGCTTCAGACCACTTTAGTTCTCAATCCTCAGCCCTTCTCACTCTACAAACTTGTCTGCCACTCTCTGACGTGGGGGAACTATACTCTCACGATGTATTTCCGTCTCGGCGCTCACACGGGCGGCGTTCTGTCCTCCTTTTTCTTCACTTTAATTTTTTTTTCCAACCCGTCTTCTTTGTCGTCTCTATTCTCTCCAATGGCTTGATGCTGTATTCTCAAAACAGCTTGAGCAGAATATCAGACAATTGCTTCATCTTATCCAATAGATGACTTCTTTATTTTCAGAGGGATACATGATACGATCAATTCCCAAAAGTTATCTCATAATTTCATTTCGAAGAGCTATTTATTCTCTGGATGAACCAGTTCCTTTCAACATCCAATTTTGGAAGTATTGATCTGGCGATGGCCGGGAGAGCTTCAGTGGTTTCAGGAGTGTCTTCTGGAGGAGTTGATTCTTCTGATGCAGAGGACTCTCAACCGCGGGACAGTTCATTAATATTCGTCATCCATCGCCGGGTGATACTAACCTAGAGCATGGCTCGTAAATATCTATCTCTTGTCGCGGTTGGCTTACAGGAAGTGTATTTTCGTTCCAGTTGCACTGAGTCGTCAGCGTTTCTCTTCCTCCTCCGACAGCAGACCTCTCTCTCCCAGTGTTTTTTCGAAAACTGCCAGTCATTATATCATTATTCAGCTTTTCTTATTCTACTAGAGTTGTTTGCGTGCCAGATTTACTGAGCCGGGCGCCTTCATAGTATTCACTGACTGTCACGCACTATTCCGGATTGGACCGAGAGTTGTGGACAGCACGTGGGCTTGTGATTTTGGACTGTTGATAGTGGTTGTGTAGATTTTCGGGTTGTTCATGTGGTGATGAGTGATTTGATGGTGATAATAGTGATCTGCGGATGGAATTACTGATCAATCAAGTCAGTGAGGCTGTAATGGATTATCAGGGGACAGGTCGTATTAGTGGTGCATCGCGTCCTCTTTGTTATCGTTATTAAAGGAGATCGACCATTCAACGTAAGCTGATTCCATTGGTTATTTCAATAGTGAGTATTATCGCTAGTCGAAGGATCGATACCGCAGATTTTTTCAATTCTTCGTGGACATTGCAGTTGACCTGCAACGAATGTATTTTCGTTCCAATCACACAGAGTCGTCAGCGATTCTCTTCCTCCTCCGACAGCAGACCTCTCTCTCCCAGTGTTTTTTCTAGAACTGCCAGTGATCATATCATTATTCACGTTTTCTTATTCTGCTAAAGTGGTTTGGGTGCCAGAATCACTGAGCCGGGCGCCTTCATACGGTTCACTGGCTGGCACGCATTAGTCCGGGTTGGACCGAGACTAGTAGACAGCACGTGGTTTTGTGATTTTGGACTGTCGATAGTGGTTGTGCAGATCTTCAGGTTGTTCACGTGGTGATGAGTGATTTGATGGTGATGGTAGTGATCTGCAGATGGAATTACTGATCAATCAAGTCAGTGAGACTGTAATTGATTATCAGGGGACAGGTCGTCTTCTAGTGGTTCATCGCTTTCCCTTTGTTATCGTTATTAAAGGAGATCGACCATTAAATATTATACCACTCAATATTGAGTATTATTTTTGGTCGCAGGATCGATAAACAGATTTCCTGAATTTTCCGAATGTCAGGCGTCCTGATCTCTGCCCTCAATGTGAGATCGTCTTGAAGCACTCAAAATTTCATATTAAAGCTAAAAACAGACGTCAAATGCAAGATTCTCATGATTTATGAACGAAATGCTGGAATAAACTCTCTTATTTCGGTTCGATATAGGGCATTATCATTTATGAAACGAATGCATTTTCTTGTACCTGTTTAAATAAATTGCTCTACAATTCTGGGTCACCCGGAACTGCATCAGATGTTCCTTCTCTTTTCAAATAATAATTAATTTTGAACTCACTCGAAGAAATATCGTCGTTAGGAATACGGCTTTGACCGGGAGCTAAGATGCTCGTTATCTCCGCTGACAGCACTTACCACGGTGTTTATTGCTACTTCAGTGGAAACGACGCACTGGTCCCATGATGACCAGACATCCGAGCATCAATAGACATTTATAAAGTTCGTTGAGCACACGACTCAAGCGTAAAGCACTATTTTTTTTATTTCTGTTTCACTAATAATGGGGTTTTTTCCGTTTTGTTGCAGACTGGACATCATTACAAATCGCCGGAGGCATCCCCTCATACTGAATACAAATTGAGGTAAGATTTCGAAAGCATTTGCAGATGATTTTAAGCGTTGAATTCCATCATTCGAGTAGGAATTGAATTTTACAAAGAAAAAAATTTCTGCTTGCCACATACAGAGTTCTGGACTCTAGTGAAATTTCTCTGGGAATCAGAGAAAGAGTTCTAGTTCTCAGTCATTTTTACGGAAACCTAGTGCCGAGGGTAATTAAGGATATTCAAGTAATTTGGTTACTTTATTTTTTGTGATTTTTCGATTTTCTATTTTTGATTGCAAATGCACTGAAATGTTATGAAACGTGAATAAATGCTTTTAGGGTCATGTCTATATGTATGCATCCGACAACTTGGATTTTTGTTGATTAATTTTTGGAAAATTCAACATATATTCGGCGAAATTTGTAGATAAAAATCTGAAATTTTAGTTGATTGTAGCTATTATTGAGCTCAACTTTGGCGCGCTGTTTCAGCGGATTGGTCCATTATAAATAACGAACGTTTAAAAAAATGATAATTTTTTGTAACTAATGATCTTGAAAAAATGATGATTTTTTCAAATTTTCCGCACGCAATTTAACTGACAAATTTGATGATTGAAAATGGTTGAATCCATAGTGTGATCTGTACCAAACCGTGAAAGATACTTGGATATCCTTAAATCAATGCACTTTGATTCTGGAATCTTAGTACTTTGCGGCCTTAAAGTAACAACTTTAAAATAAGAATCTTGAATCTTAAAATAAAAATCTTGAGGCTCTTAAATTAACCCCCTGCCTCCTCAAGTTATCTCCATTAATTATGGTGTGACATCACAACTTAGACAACTCCCTGTCCGCGAGAAGCACCATTTGAGTGCTCCAATGGTTCTTATTTCAAAAACACAGGGTTTTTTATTTCAGTACCGTGGTATTGAAATAACCAAACCAAAGGCTTTTTTTTCTTCGTGTTACCACTTCAAAATAGTAATTATCATAGTCATGATGATGAGGATCATGATGAATATCAGAGAATCGTGATTACAAACAAAAGTTGGTAACAGTAACATTCGCCTCAACCGCCTAAATTTACAATAAGAATTTGTTGGGATTTGAGTGTTTGCCAGGTCGTCGCCGACAGTTTATGTCCGACCATTCCTGTATGTTTTGGTAAAATGAAACGCCGTAACCCAGCTATTCACTTTGGAATTTGCCAAGCGTGTCGCGCATTATACGTTACATCCAAAATCTATTTGAGTTTCCCGTTTGCGTTGGGTATTTAGACTTTATGGAAACTGTGTGTTTGATCGTCAAAGTAGCCTCAAGTTTCTCCATGGATTATTGATTATTCTGGTAAATTCAATTGACTATCAGTAACTCAGTCTTCTAATCGATTATGCTAACGGGATAATTTGATATTTTGTATATTTATTTATTTGTTATATATATTTATTGTCGTAATTTGAAACATGATTGGAACTTTATTTGAATTTTCAGAGAAAATAAAATAGTAATAATTACTATGTTACGGGAAATGTCGTATAACCCATAATGAAATTATTCTAAATAATTAAATAGCACCGAGGAATGAAACTGGAATAGATCAAAGTTGGACACAAAAATTATTAATTCAAGGACGAGAATTTTCTTATTAAAAGAAACGTCTAAAAGAGAAATTATATTTCTGAATGAAATAATGGATTTATTCAGAGAGCTCCAAATAGAGCTAATTGAAACCTAAATTAAATTTGCAGTTGCATTTTTATTCATATGAAATGAATAGTTTTATAAATGTAAACAAATGCTTTCTCTTTTCTTCTTTCGTGTACGTAGTAAGGATCACTACATAGGGCCAGTTGGAAACCCTTTTACTATATTACCATAGTAATCTCTCCCATAACCATGGTAATATTTACGATTCAATTCTCTCCGTGCGCACAAACGTTTTAAAAAGAAATACAAAAGTGTCTGAATCCAAAACACCAGTTTCCCACCCGCAAACAGGACTGAATTGATGAAATCTCGGATGTAATAAAACCTGTAAAATCTATCCACTCGTTAAACCCGAAATTAGCTGAATCCACTGGACTTCAGTTACGCGCATGAAGAATTTAATGGTAAACTGTTTCAACAGCACAGCAAAATAATTACTGGCAATTGGGTGGGGCCAATCGCTACCCCGATGCGCTTTGCTCTAGTTCCCGTGTTCTGCGGTAAATGGGACTACGTTTCAAACGAAGAAACGGCGAAACCGATTATCTCCGTCGACACCTGCGATTCCCAGGCACCAGTCGCCACGGGCTTTGCGTTATATCCAGGGCCGAGAGGGGGGGAGGGGGTTGATTGCACGGTGAAATTCACCTCTCGATCGAGTATTTTCATACCTCCATCGCATTTATCATAACTATTATTGCATGGATTTATCGTCCAACGATTTCGCTTCAATCAAACTTTGCGCTACGGAAGTAATACGCTATCGTTGTAATTGGGACTTTTGGTGGTACATTCATGGGTTCTTGGATTTCTGGGAAATGGGGGGATTAGGGGGGTTTCAGACCTTAGGAGGAGAGGAGTTGAAAAATTTATCATTCACTTATGCCAGTCGTCAGGCAAGTTTCCAGGCTTTTGTGACATTTGCCCGGTGGCTCGGGTCCAAATTACTCTGATTTAGTGCTATCATTAGGCAGTGACGTGGGTCATGCGTCAGGATAAATGAAGTTTGTAAATTGGGACATTAAAATATATGGAGTTATTGGCAAATTATTTGTTTATTGCCCATGCCATATACACGGATAGAAAGGATTAGTTAGTGTTAACGAATGGATTTGGTTGGAGTCAAGGTCTACTTGGTCTCGTAGACACCTTGAAAAAAAGTCAATTTGATATTTATGCGACAGATGAAGAATGCACATAATAAACACAACATCAGTTTATTCATGGACAGACCGACATGTTGAAGATTAATGTGAACCAGCGATTTTATGAATGTTCAAACATTCTTTATGAATGCATATTCCGGATGCATTTTATGGGAAAAACTGGAAATTACCGAGGATTCACCAGACGATGAAAATTCTCGCGTTCTGTTAATTAGTCACGACTTGTCTACTAATGTCTCAATTAGGGCGGGTTCCATATCCACCCGCTGGGTTACCCTCCGCCAACCACGTTGAATTAACTATGAACGATTATACAACCGCGCTTATGTCACTGAAACACGCGTTCATGGGTTTGCGTAGGTGCATGGAGCAAAAAGTTGGAGAAACATTACCGAACGAGTCAATATTCGATCGCTTTTTATCGCCTCTGAAAATTGCGAAACTTTCCCGGCAACACGGAAAATATATACCTGCCGTGATAAAAAGCTTAGTTATTGTTATTCCGTATTTATTGGCCCCTCTAATGCCAAAGAAACCCTGGGAGGCGCCAGAAATGTTGAAATAAAAAATTTTTTTTTTCACCCGGTGTCAAAGTGTCAGATCTTGGATTGTTCCCGGGGGAAAGTCGACTTTCGTCAAAATCGAAGTTTTTCGCCAAGTGAATGTTGATTCCGTATTTATTGGCCCCTCTAAATCCAATGAAACCCTCGGGGGCGCCAGAAATGTTGAAATGAAAATTTTTTTGTTAGTCGGGGCCACTATTACCGTGGCTATTCGCACTACCACACGCAGCATGTGGCACGGAACAAATGAAAAAAAGAATTTGTTTTATTTGCTCCGTTTTATTTCTTTCCGTGAATTCCCTTGCCTCAATTTTTATTTATTCTCAAGATGTTTATTGCGATAGAATCACGCCGCTGACGAATGAACCATGAATGAACAGAAAATAATTCTCATGATGGGTGTTACGTAAAAAAAGCGTTTCATACGAGAATAAATCGCCACTGTGGGACACGCCAGAATGAAAAGTTTTTCCGAGTCGAATGGAAATAAACGAGTTGTGAGGGATTTGTTTTCCAGTGTAGAATTTGTTGCGCAGAAGTTGAAAAAAAAATTTTGCTCGTCCACTACATCCCACAGTGTTGATATTTTCCCAGTGTGCGGGTATAAATTGTGTAATCCGATGACAACATCGATTACTGGAGCCCCGAAAATGTGGGGAATATCCGATATTCTTGTTTCGATGTAATGCAAAATAGTTTTTCGAGAGCTACCGATTTTTATTTTGCATAAAAATTTATGATGCGCATCTCGGGAGCTGTAGACGTGGGAATATACTTTCATTAAATACATTACTGTTCGTTTTTACCTCTCCAGATTTCAGCTATTTTTTCGCTCTCTTTTTATCCCAATTTCAAGTGTCGCACCCTTTTCATGTTCACACGCTGTGTGAACTCTCCAGCGGCAGTTGCGAACTCCCCCCGAAAATCCGTTTCAACTGGATTGAAAGAAAATACGACGGCGTTATTTCAGGCATTTGTCGGGCGTTAACTTGCGAAATTTTCCAGTCGAAGAATGAAAGTAAGTGCGGCGAGTTTTCACCACTTGCTATCTCTAATCCGGGATTTTCAGTCTTTATTTTTGGGGATGAGGGGTTATTTCGGTCTCATGATATTCGTAATTCTGGGGGAAATTTTTTAAAGGGGATAGCACGATCGCAGGATATTTTTTTCTTCGATGAAGTTGCCGGGATTATTCGCACTGGAAAAACTAATGTCTTGAATTATGACGCTTTTGTCTCCCTTTTTAAGGCGTTTGTGTTCTTGAATTTTAGTCACTTTTAGGGTCTTGAATCGGGAAATTAAAACATGTATTCTGGACATTCTAGGTGTCTCACTTGAGGATTTTTTGTTTCAAACTTGCCACAAGAGGATTTTTTTACTGACTTCGAGTCTTTTAAGGGGGCGACACAAAAAATGCGGAACGGGTGCCCTAACGGCCACCTTAGTGCCTAATGTTCTAAATTGTGCCGTGTTGGAGCCACTAGTTTTCACACTGCGGTTATTTCACATACTCCAGAACATCTCTTCCCAAATCCCATTCCCATTCCTCCCTTTTGTTTCCACCCACTACATAAATAACTTTTCCCCGAAAACTTTTT